CTCTACTCCTCACTTCTGCATTACTCACATGGTGTGTAGTGACACCATAGAATACAGCCTATGCAGCCAGTGAAGGTGACGGTGGTTAAACACTTGAAGCAAGCCTTCTCATGTATTCCACCTTCAATGGCCATATTTTACAGCCATAAAGTAGAAGAGAGTGAAGTACATGCGATCTCTAATAGACAAAGAGATATGATGGTGACGCCATAGGTGGTGTAAATTGGCAAAAGCCAGCCAATTGAGCCTTTTGTATACATGCAGAGATATTTCACCGACCACTGACCCACCAGGGCTGATCCCACTTCCCAGGTAAGTCAAGTGATCAACACACTCAACCACTACACTGACTCTTTATTGTTAACCGCGGTGGGGCACAGTTGAAGACCAATCCTGGAGCAACAATGCGCGTGTTCATAATCAAATTTTTGAATGCATATAATAGGATAGGATAGTCGCAACATTATATGAATCTCTTCAGCTCTGAAAAATTCACTCTTGAGTAGAAAATATCCATTTGACACTTTCACACACTACTGCTCTTCATGATGATGATAAGAGATTTACACGTTGTAAATTTGAATTGGTGATTCATTTTATCTTGATTTCTTGAATTTCCACTTGTTCCCTATGTGTATGTGTGTATGTGTTCAGAATGAATGAAATTTCTTCCACATTTTGAAGTACTACTATCCATTCATCATCATCGCCATCAAGAAGATGAAGAGGGGAAGAAACATCGATCAAAGGAAGTAGAAGTATAAAGTAGTAAAAGAGAAGAGGGAAGAATAAAAAGTGTTGAGGGCAATGTTGGAATACATCTGCGCCACTGACATCGACTCTGAGCCATATCACCTAGTGTCCAACTACTGGTTCCTCTTGTCCTACGGACTCTAATAGAGTAGTCTCCTCCCCCCATCCAAACATGGCTCAAACTAACAGATAACAGCTTCATGCATTGATGTCATGTTTTAGTGTGGCCACCTCGGGAGTTTTTTCAGCCTGAACCTACTTCGATCAACATTGTGTGATGAGTCAAACGGTGACTAGTCCTAGGTATGCGTAAGACATATCTCAGCCAGCCATCTCAGTCGATGAAGGTTCACAACTGCATCAACTCACTTACCTCTTCTTCCTAAAACTCTATGCCTGACTTCTGCATGACTCAGGTGGTGATGTCATGAAACACGGTCTACGATACGAAGGCAACAGTGGTCAGACACCTGAAGCTTTCTCATATCTTCTCCCTTTAATGGCTATGTTTCTCATCCATACAGTAGAACAGAGCAAACTGGAACAGAGTACACTCGACTTTTAATAGACAATTGGATATCGCAGCTGATTCCACTTCCTAGATCAGTAAAGTGTTGAACGCGCTCAACCACTTCACTCTTTCTTATTATCAATAGTACCATTGAAGACCAGTTGTGGAGCAACGATTTGCATTTGTGTGGTGAGAAACGCATCCCAAACATTCTCAAATTCCCACTCAAAGTGTTCAGAAGACTCTACATCTCATCAGTCAGCGTCTTCACCTAACAGGACTGTTGACTCTGAGCCATATCACCTAGTCTCCAACTACTGGTTCCTCTTATCCTGCGGACTCCAATCGAGTAGTCTGCACTGCACTATATGGCTCAAACTAACAGATAACAGCTTCATGCATTGATGTCATGTTTTAGTGTGGCCACCTCGGGAGTTTTTCTAGCCTGAACCTACTTCGATCAACATTGTGTGATGAGTCAAACGGTGACTAGTCCTAGGTATGCGTAAGACATATCTCAGCCAGCCATCTAGATCTCAGACCACTCACAAGCTTCGCGATCAACTCGAAACCTCTGAGGAAGACCTTTATGTCTCCATAGTTCAACACTGAGTGCCATAGAATCTTTATCATATTCAGAAACAGTGACACCAATTGAAGAGAAATACAAAACAATGATTCACAGAAGATATTTACCCATCGCTCATAATTGTCTATGACTTCTTCCGACCTTTCAACATATACCACTTATGTGCATTCTTATCAGTAATCCTGGCTTTTCTATTTGAATTACCAAGATTTCAGCAATACATATTGATTTCGATTTGAAACGTCAAGTGTTTGTTGAGATTCAGACGACCAGTATCGACAAGGTGTTCTGTTATCGGTGTTATTTCTTTCTGACCATGTAGGATGGTATTCTTGAACCCCCTTTTAAAGAAGATCCATATCGAATAACCGATATACGTGACTAGAGAGAAGCAGATGAATTGTTATCACCTTGGTTATTGTCATTGCCTAGCTAACTGCCTTCATGCATGTAATAAAATGTACAATCTTAGCAACAGAAAAATTTTATATTAAGTATGATTTATTTTCATTTTCCTGATGAGGATTTTTTTTCGAGACTTTAAAAACTTAAAGGAGAGGAATAATCAGTGAATAGGGAAGAGTAGAAGAGAGGTCCGATAGAAGGAAAACTTTTTCAATGTAACCGAAGAGAGACAGTCATGCTTACTAAGTATAGTCAGACAGACAGACAGACAGACACACACACACACACACAGAAATGTGATTTTGGTTGCATGATAGTTTTCAAGGGAAATCTTATCCCCCTGTCACTACAATTGGGTGGCGATTGAAAAACTATTCACCTGTAAGACAAATGTCAATGTGTGAAGGGTGAAATTTGTAGGTGATTTGCGAACTGATAATCCTATATTAAACATACCCCGTCCATGGAAATCAGCTAGCCAGATTTAAGTGATCTGAACTAATTTGCCTATATGAGATGAATTCGTCCGGATAACACCGCTGATCAGTTCGACTTCAGACAAGGGAAACAGCTATCCCGTGATTAGACAGGTAACTCTCATGTGATTACTGACTACTGAATTCGTTCAGTAGTAGTAGTAATAGTCGTATATTTTGGTACCTCATCTCACTTTTGAAGTCTAAGTGATTAGAGAGGGGGAGCACCATACTGATTATCACGTTGAATGAGGTAACCATGGTTTATTATGATTATTATTTGTCCCTTGAGTTCCTAGTGGAATATAGGGCTTCAGTAGCACGCCTCCATTCCACTCTCTTGTCTACAGTCTTCGCAGCCTGGCGCCACAACTGCCCAGAAGCTTTCACTTCTTCTTCACACCATCTCCTTCATGTCATCCTCAACTTGGACGCCTAACTGGTCGTTTACCATTTGTATTCCACACGAGCATCTGGCCTGACGCTTAATGTCCCCAATCGGCCTTCTCAGTGTATGCCCAATCCATCTCCATCTTCTTCTACAGCAGATTTGTTGGGTGATAGGTTGTTCATTGGTTGGCTGCCAGACTGAATTCCTTGTTGCTTATTCTTTCTCGCTATCTATCTGATCTTCAGTATAGAGTGAGCGTAGGTGGCAGTTGTTGATGAATGTGGGTGATGATCGGAAGTGAAATGAAAATCCAGCGACTAATTGGACCTTATAGTTCAGTTGGTAGAGTATCGGACTGGAAACTCAGTGGCCGCTAGTTCGAATCCGAACTCAGTCCAAGCTTTCATTCCAAATTCAATCATTATTATTATTATTTTACTATTTGTCCTTAGGGTTCCTAATGGAACAAGGGGCTTCAATAGCACGTCTCCATTCCAATCTATTCTCTACAAACTTTTGAACCTGGCTCCACGACTGCCAAAAAACTCTCATTTCTTACTCGCACGATCTCCTCCATGTCAACCTTGCTACGGACGCCAAACTCGTCATTTCTCATCTGGGTTCCACTCGACGACATGACCTGGCGTGTGATGTCCCCAGTCAGCCTTCTCAGTGTATGCTAATTCAATCCATCTCCACTTCCTTCCACTGCATACTTGTTGAGCGATAGGTTGTTGGTTGGTTCGTCGCCAGCCAGCCAGCCAACCAGCCAGAGTTCCTTGTTGCTTATTCTTATTATTCTGGTCATCTGATCTTCAGTAAGGAGCCAGCGTAGGTGGCATTTGTTGATGAATGTGTGTAGTTTGTTGGAAGTGATTTTGGTAACTCGGCGAGTCTGTGAGCCATACAGAAGCACTGACTTGACTGAATTGGTGTTGAAAATTCGGATGTTGTTGACGCTTTGTGCTGTGTGCAGAAGATCTCCACACTGGTTTCAGGTTAATGAATGTCTGTCTTGCTGTGTTTCCGATGCTGACTGGTTTCGACATCCTTGTCTGTGCCTGTGCCGCCACCTGTAGTTGAAAGAGTGCTGCCTAGATAGGTGAAAGAGACTGCTTCCTTTAAATTTCTTCTGTTGATGGTGATTGGAGCTTGTTGTTGTTGTTATTGGTGGTGGTGTTGTTGGTTGGATATCTTCATCACCTCTGTGTACTCGATGTTCACTTGAAGTCCGGTATTCGCTGCCCTGCCCTGCCTCTTCTGTCAACTTGTTAGTTTTCGCCTGTAGATCGTCAAGTTTGTGTGACATTAGACATAAGTCATCATTGGCGAAATCCAAATGTTCTAGGATCTTTTCCCTGGTCCGGCATATCCTCCTATTCTCGCTCCTCACAGTTTGCTGCATGATGCAGTCTACCACAATCAGGAAGATGATCAGTGATAGTATGCAGTATGCCTTGTTTTACTCCTTCCTGTCTTCACTTCAATGATGTCACTTCTCGGTTGACGCTGTTGAAAGAAGGCCTTTTCAAAGTGGATGAAGTTGAGGTAGATTTGAGTTGACTGTCATTCTATACTCTGTTGTATGATGATGCGTAGTGTAGTGTTGCAATTTGGTCGGCACATGATTTTTACTTCCTGATCATCATCATTACCCAGTATCAATACTGGTTTATCAAACTACACCTGCTACTTTAGATGGTCAAAATTGAATTATAGAACTGGTTGTTGTATACATTATGACACTCAGTGTTCATGAGATAAGTGAGTTAATAACTCTCACCTATGTCTTATAAAAATGGTTAATGTTGTATATTGATTGTTATAATATATTCATTTTAATTGATCAGTTTATTTTTTTTAATTTATTTAAAGGGCAACACTTTGCATGGACAAGCTATTTCTTCTATTTCTTCACCTTCAGAAGATAATGTTAACAATAAGTTATACAAAGCAACAACAACAACAACAACAACACCACAAGCACCACCACCACCAACAACAACAACACCAACATCGAAATCAAACAATAAACACGTTATGATACATAGTCATACAACTTCACATTCACCAATTGGTCATCAAATGAATAAACTTCCAATTACTCATAGTAATAATAATAATAATAATAATCTTACCAATGGTGGTATAGTGAATACAAGGACTAATTCAGGTATACCATCATTATCATCTTCATTAGAACATGAAACAATTGTTCAACTTCAAGAAATGATAACACACTTAAAGAGTGTAATTAAAGCAAAAGATCAAAGAATACAAGAATTGGAAAGAGATAAAGATAAATTACGCTCTGTATTACATCAACAATTGACTAATACATGGGTAAGTGAATTGGTGATCTAATGAGTGAAATAAGAATTGGGAATCATTGAGGTTACTTTACTATTCATTATTATGTTCATAATATTGTGATTGCTTGATCATTTGAGAAGAGCATCCTATACTGATGATGATTGGTTTAACTATCTGAGATAGTCATTGTGTACATATACGTGTACTAGGTAGTTAGTCAGCGTAGAATCATGCTCCGGTCCACCCCAAGCAAAATATTAGACCACATCATCCTGGAGAGATTAAAGGATACGATGCATTCAAAATTACCACTGGAACAGATTGGCTAGCTGGATTCAGGAAGTACAAATTATGTGCCGATCAAACTGCAACACCTCGCATCATCATAGAACAGAGTATAGAATGACAGTCAACTCAACTCTACCTCAACTTGATCGATTTTGAAAAGGCCACATACCAAGTGATCTACAATGAAAATCTCAGTGACATCATTGAAGTGAAGACAGGAGTAAAACAAGGTTGTCTACTATCACCCATGATCTTCCTGATTGTGGTCGACTGGATCATGCAATAAATAGTGAGGAGCGAGAAGAGGGGGATACACTGGACCAGGGAAAAGATCCTAGGAGATTTAGATTTCGCCAACGATGATTTATGTCAAATATTTACAGGCGAAAACTAACAAGTTGACAGAAGAGGCAGGGCAGGGCAGGGCAGCGAAAACCGGACTTCAAGTGAACGGAGAGAAGACAGAGGTGATGAAGATTCCCAACTGACAACAGCATCAACAACAAGCACCAATCACCATTAGTGGGAGAAACCTGAAGGAAGTAGTCTCTTTCACCTACCCGCCTGGGCAGGGCAGCATCGTTTCAACTATACGTGGCGCATATAAAGACGTCAAAACCAGGATCGGAAAAGCAAGACAGGCTTTCCTGCACTAATCTGAAACCAGTGTGGAGATCTACTGCACGCAGCATGTGGAACAAGATTCGAATTTTTAAACACCAATGTGAAGTCAGTGCTGCTATGTGATGGTTCAGAAACTTGACGCATCACGAAAACCATTTCCAACATGCTACAGACATTCATCAATAGCTGCCACCTGGGCTAGCTCGATACTCAAGATCAGATGGGTGGCCAGAAATAATAAGCAACAAGGAATTCTGGCCTACTAACGAACGAACCAAGAAGCTATCGCTGAACAAATATGCAGTGGAAGGAAAGTTAAACGTGTGAAGAAATTAACTTCAATCTCACCCACCCTCCCAACCTGTCTACTGATGATTGTCAATTGTAACCTCCTCAATATGAAATATGAAGTTTTCTTTGGGCTTCTTATCTTGCTTTAACCGATAGCTGCTACCTTAATGTGGTGGTCGGGTTAGTATGTCATGACGACTCTACTAGGTATGCTGGTGGAATGCTTGTTCCCTCGAAGTTCTACCGTACCAGAAAGGTTTATTGGATAATGGTTAGACAGAAAGCAGTAGTCCCTAACCCCAACTCTTAAACAATGAGATGGTGGATTATGTTGCCTTAGATTAATCATCAGTGGTTAGTAGTAATCCAAAACCTCAGTACGTATGTCCAACCACATCTCCCATACTAAAGGCCAGTAATCATTTAACTCCATTGATCAAGAAGTCGTATGGCAATGTCTCTTACTGAAAGGCGTGCCGAGTAAGTACATCACCTCATTGAAAGCTCTCTACTCGAACACTTCTGGGCGTGTTAAAGCCTATGGTGAGATGCCCAGAGAGCTATGCTCATCAAGTGGTGTCTGTCAACGATGCCCACTGTCTCTATTCTTATTCAATTTCAGCAAACATATTGTTATAAAGGTCTCCCTCTCGTCATCAGGTTACACAGACGTTGACCTAATCGGTGAAAAATTTTCGTTAGACCTAGAATATGCAGATGACAATAGTCCTGTTAGGTGAAGACGCTGACAAGATATAGAGTCTTCCGAACACTTTGAGTAGCAATTTGAGAATGTTTATGATGCATTTCTCACCACCCAAATTCAAATTGTTGCCCCAGGATTGGTCTTCAACTGTGCCCCACCAAGGCTAACAGTAGACAGTGAGTGTAGTGGTTGAGTGTGTTGACCACTTCACTTACCTGGGAAGTGGGATCAGCCCTGATGGGTCAGTGGTCGGTGAAATATCTCTGCATGTATACAAAAGGCTCGGTTGGCTGGCTTTTGCCAATTTACACCACCTATGGGGTCACCATGATATCTGTTTGTCTAGTAGAGATCGCATGTACTGCACTCTCTTCTACTCTATGACTGTAAAATATGGCCATTGAAGGTGGAATACATGGGAAGGCTTGCTTCAAGTGTCTAACCACGGTCGCCTTCGTAGGCTGCACAGGCCGTATTCCGTGGTGTGAGTAATGCAGAAGTGAGGAGTAGAGTTTCAGTGAGGGAGTAGAGGTGAATCAGTTGACGATGAGGTTATGAACGTTGATCGACTGAGATGTCTGACTGTGACACGTGTTACGTATGTCTAGTCACTGATTGCCTCTTCACACAATGCTGGCTGAAGTAGGTTGAGGCTGGATAAATGCCCGAGGTGGCCGACTAAAATATGGCACCAATGTATGGAGTGTTTGACTGTTGGTTTGAGTCATGTAGGGGGGGGGGCGATGCAGACTAGGTGGTTGGGGTCGGGGGACAAGAGGAACCAGTGGTTGGAGACTGACTCTGTGTGATCACATGGCCGAGAACTGATGACAGTCGCGAAGATGTATCCCCACACACATTATCCTCATCTTAACGACACCATTCCGACTCTCACTATTATGTCATTCTTCCTTTATTTCTTCTCATACTTTATATTCCTTTTGACTGAATTTTTTTCTTATCTTCATCTCTCACCTCACTACCTTTTTACTTGACGTACTGGTGTGATCTGTGGTAAGTGAAACCGTTATGCAGTAATGCCTGGTCCTATGTTGATAGCGATGATGATGATGATGAGGCCAGTTATCGTAGTATCAGAAAGGCTGTATATGACCGGCTCCAAGCAGACGTGCCTTAAGCCCTGCGGTCACACAAACGTTTTTCTCTTTCGGATAACTTAAAAAGAAATAGCCTTTCACGTTGTGGGTAGCTGAGAAGTGTCAACTGCACACACACTTCCAGTAATACACAAGACCCAACCACACATAACGTATCCTCCTCAACTCTGTCTCCTCCTTTGCCTTCGCCTTCACCTTCTAATATTAAACCACTTACGTCTTACTCAGCAGTCATTGTCAACGATCAAAGCCATCGATACCTCATTCCTAGTCTCCTAAGATCCTGCCGTCGATTCTATGGAGGAGCTTTCAACGTCTGAACTCTATGCCAAATTGGACAGAAGCATCGACTTAGATGGCTTGGACATGTACTATGCGGCGCATATCTAACCATCACCTACCTCCAGGTGCCATGCAAAATGGAGTTGGATTAGGATGGAAAAGGGTTCGGGGTGTCCAGACGAAGACCTGACAACAATCTATGAAGTGCCTAACTGTTACTCTGAGTCATGTGGGGGAGATGTTAACTGTTTGGTCAGGGTCTCCGAGACGAAAGGAATGGAATAGTTGAAGAGTTTTGGTAACATGGCGGGAAATTGGTTGCAATGGCGTAGAGATGTATTCACTCTTCGATATCTTTTAAGGTTCAAATGTATTCACACTATGTGTTATCTTCTTTGTCTACATTGATGACATCAGTCTTTTTCTATCCACCACGTGTTCTTTGTGCACTACCACGGTGAATTGTGTGACAACTTCAGGTGTTACACTTATGTGTGAGCTTCCACGTTGATTTTATCAGTGAGTGAGTGAGTCAGTCAGTCAATCAGTCAGTCAGTCAGTCAGTCAGTCAGTCAGTCAGCTAGTCAGTCATCAAGCTATTAAGCATCTCCAGTTCTTCTTACTTCTTAACTTCGTATTCTGTTAAACGCTGTTAAGTGCTGTGATGTTTTAGTTCTGAATGCTAATTAAGTAGACTATGTGTAATATTTATGACTAAACATTGAGTAATGTAAGCTGGAATCCTTTCATGTAGTATCATTGGGGTTTTTTCCCCTCTCCCTAGATATGTTTGAACACCAGGATGAATAACACATAGCCTAGATAGAAGGTCAACCGGTCAATGAGGTTGTCAACTATAGTCGACTGAGGTGTCTGAGACATTTGCTGGACATTTGAAGTCACTGACTAGGTGATTTTGCCATAGCAGGGTAAGTTGGAGTAGGTTGTAAAAGGGGGTGATAGTGTTCGAACCAAGATTATGGTATTGGTGTATGAAGTCTGAGCTATTTAGGGAAGTATAGACCGCCTAGTTGGGTCTCAGTGGCACAGATGTATTCACTCATTGTCATCTTCTGAAGCTTTTTCTTCAGATTACTTATTCTCTCACACGTTGATATCACTGTTCTTTATATACTACTGTGAAATGTGGTAACTTGAACCGATGCACTAAAATATGGCACCAATACATGAAGTGTTTGATTGTTGGTTTGAGCCATGTAGGGCGGTGCAGACTACGTGGTTGGGGTCGGGGGGACAAGAGGAACCAGTGGTTGGAGACTGACTCTAGATGATCACATGGCCGAGAACCGGTGTCAGTGGCACAGATGTACACCCACACACATTATCCTCATCTTAACAACGCTATACCGAATCTCACTACTTTCTCATTCTTCCTCTTTCTCTCTCTTTTCGTACTTTATATTTCTTTTAACTGAATTTTCTTATCTTCATCTTTCACCTTACAATCTTTCTACTTGATGTACTGATATGAGGTATGGCAACTCGCACCATTACGCAGTAATGCCTGGTATCCTATGTTGATATTGATGATGATGATGACTTAGTATTAAACATCCGGATCTCATTCATGCTTTATGCTGAGTGCAGTGCAATGCAATGCAGTGGATCTCCACACTTGATTTCAGATAAATGAAGGAACGCCTGTTGGTTGGTTGGGTATCTTCATCACTTCTATGTTGTCTACGTTCACCTGAAGGAAG